GTGTGTGTGAGAGAGAGAGAGAGAGAGAGAAAGAGAGAGAAGGAGAGAGAGAGAGAGAGAGAGAGACAGAGAGAGAGAGAGAGAGAGAGAGAGAGAGAGAGAGGGCATCCAAGGTCATGATATCTTTTGGGTGTGACGGAGAATGAGATGAATCCAGTACTCAGAGAGAGAGAGAGTGAGGTCATGATATCTTTCTTGGGGTGAGGGAGAGCGAGAAGAAAGAGGGATCGGCTATGTGCTCCCTTAATGCAATACTGATTGTCCTCTCTTTTTTCCGTTTTGAGTGTATGGAGAAGGAAGATAGGGTGACACCCGTTGATTTGGTGTATTTTGTTTTCCCTGCAGATTTGAAATCCCAGAAGATACGGAACTTGGGCTTCCTGTGGCTTCATGTGTGGTCACCAGGTGAGAACAATGAACTCTATTGTTCGTCTTTTCCTCAAGGTCTAAATAATAAATTCTATGTCAATTTCAAAGGGTATCTGACTACGGAACCTCAGTGGGGTTGTCATGGAGGAACAGGACTTGGAGACATCCATGGACCCCATTTCACTCACAACTGCTTTGATCCTTTTGGGTTGTTAACAGCATACTTGCAACCGAACGAGCCGCACATTCGTGCGGAGTTCCGTGTGGGGGGTGCCTGTGCGGAATTGTGCAGGTTTTTAATTTTTATTATTATTTTATCTTTTTCTGGGAGGGGGAACGGGGGGGCGTATCACAGGAAGACGGGGATATGGCGAGGAGAGGGGATTATGGAGAGGAGGAGGAGGATGTGGATGAGGAGGACGATGAGGAGTCGTCGAGGTGGAGGGAGGAGAAGAGATGGAGGGAGGGAAAAGAGGAAGGGCAACAGGAGAAGGACGAGTGGGAGGAGGAGGAGACATGGACGGCGAGGACGGGAGGACATGAGGAAGGGAAAGAGGTGAGGAGGCATGGAAGATGAGGAAGTACGTGGAGGAGGAGGACACAAGGAGGGTGAGGAAGGGCAGGAGGAGGACGAACAGGAGGAGGACGAGTTGGAGGATACGAAAAGGAGAATGGAGGAGGAGACATGGAGGATGAGGAAGGGAAGGAAGAGCAAGGTGAGGCAGTACTCCTGTAATTTTTTTTTTCATCTCGCTTGGGGCCTCACAAGCACCATCTCGACCTTGGCCTTTTTTTTTCTGAGGGGGGTGACGGGTCGTGCGCCGCACAGGATCAGTTGGGCGCGTGCACCGCACGTAGGGAACTGCCCGCATGATGTGCGCTTGCAAGTATGGTTAATAGTGCATGACGGTATTTTCGGACAATGCTAAGATCTCAAGTGTTAAGTTGATTTAGACCAGAAGAAAAGAAGAATTAAGAAAGACAAAAGAAAAAAACAAGAAAAAGGAGGAGGAGAAGAAGAAGAAGAAGAAAACAGCGGCCGTAGACTGCTTCTTGCACATTCAAGAAGAAAAAGAAGAAGAAGAAGAAGAAGAAGACGAAAAAAAAAAAAAAAAAAAAAAAAAAAAAAAAAAAAAAAAAAA